GCCTGCGGTGCATCGTCTCTCAATTCGGCCTCAGAATTAGCTGCTCCGTCCAGGTTCTCCTTGCTGTTGGAGAGGCGATGTCTGCTGCCCAACTGGGGAAGGCGCAACCGACCTGGTCTGCGGCCTCCGCTCCCGGCCTTCGGGCTGCCAGACGGGCTACTGTTCCGGCTGAGAGAGGGAGCAGACTTCCTGCTTGAAGCTGGGGAAGCTGTTGGGGAAGCAGCAGTGTTAAAGCATTAGTACTTCAATTTTCACATTCTTTAAAAAACACAAACAGTGATATTGCCGTACCTTTGGGGAGGTTGCCAAAGCCAGCGGGTGCAGAGATGGAGGACAGGTTGTCTTCTCCGACCCTCAGCAGATCCTCGCTCTCACTGCGGGAGTGGAGGCAGCGATGCTCGAGATCCCTGGGAGCCAGGAAGGCGCTGGGGTCAAAATTCTCCCGTGGAAACTTGACGATCTTTTGGGACTTGATCCAGCGACCGTTCACAAACTGGAAGCGCTTCAAGTGGACAATCTACACAAGTGGACACATGTCAGACACCGTCTCTAAATTGATTTCACGTGAGAACATTAAATGCTACCAACACGCATCGTTTCACATAAAACACTCGAGTCTGCTCCTGACCAGTATGGGCGGCAGCCTCCAGAGGTCCAGCTTCTTGGTGGCCAGTCGGTGGGTCTTGCACTTGGAGCAGTAGTAGAGTTCGTCCTCTCCCAGCTCCTCCTCGCTGGTGAAAGCCTTCAGACAGCTGTCCAAGCTGATGGGCTCAGCCTGAGCTCGCCGAGACTGCTCCACGCTGCAGTGCTCCTCCACAATCTGCAGGGAGAGGAGCGCGATGCATGACGGAGGATGATGAGACGAGAGCAGACACTCGGGGAAACAGCTGCCAGGTGTCGTTTTAGTAAAGCCGAGCAGAGTGTAGCTTTTCAAACGTCTTTTTAATGCATCTAACAAGTTTTATTGCTCAGAAACTCATTTTTCCCAGAATTCACAGGAACCACAGCACTTACCGACACACCTCGAAGGATCCTGGACACTTTAATCTGACATTTACTGACTCACTGACGCCTCCATGTGGCCAAACTCTGAATTGCACCATATTCTGGTTTGCATAGCGATCATTACAGAGGACCAACTGGACCCTGATGTAGAATTGCTAATATAACAGTGTGAGATATGAAAGCAGTGTTGCTGCTCATCACTCCTCCTGTAACTCGAAGTGACTTTTTCTCTGCCTGAATTGGTGTGTGTGTGTGTGTGTGTGTGTGCGTGTGCGTGTGCGTGTGTGTGTCCTTTACCCTCTCCTGGGAGGTCTGGTAGCGGAGATGCAGGGCAGTTGGATCCCAGTCTACAGCTATGTAAGCATTTCCTACAGCAGCTCGGTCTTCTGTGCACTCTATCGTGCAGCCTCTGCAGAACCTGCAAACACACAGATGTGCAGTACAGATGTGTGAGTTTTGCACAGTTACAACAAATCAAAGGTCTACTCCCACTTTAAGCTGTATGTAAGCCTGAATTTCATAACTTCAGGACAATGGAGGTCCGGTTTATTTTGCCACAGCTGCACTCTCACTTTAAGCACACAAACAACAAAACTCTGTATTTCCAGTATTGTAATTCAGCAGGAGACGGCGTGCGTGGCGTCTATCTTAGATATTAGCTGCAGCATTTGCACGCTGGAGGCACCACACAGGTGATAGCAGGGAGCTGCGTCACACAGCTGAGCTTTTGCATACACCTCAGAGCTGCAGAGCATGTGTGAAAACGGCGTTAGTCGCGAGCGTCTGTATCTGAAACGCTCTTACCTGTACCACGGACACCAGGCACACGAGTTTCCATCCTTGCCCACGACCCTCAGAGTAAAGGGGTACTGATAGCCCATGCTGTCATCACTGCACGTTAAAAGAAGACAAAAATGTCAACAAACTTGTAACAAAGTT